CGAGCCCGTGCCAAGGTGGAGCCCGGCCGCGCGGGCGGGCGGGCGGGCCGGGCCGTTCCCAGAGGCACCCAGCCGCGGCGTTTCCCCGTGCCCAGGAGGGCAGTGAGCCCAACTGCGCCACACGCCACCCCATCGGACGGGTCAGGTCGGGACGGGTGCCAGCCAGGGCCGCCCGGCGAATCCCGAGTAGTACGGCCGCATTGGCATCGTGCCTAGGTCGTGCTATAGGGCCATGCTGGGCGGCCCCATGACAAGGAGAGGACTTTGTGGACAATTCTGAGAGACGCCTACTACCTGTCCCTGGGTCTGTCCGTGTACGGGACACGGCTAGAGCGCCAAATATTACATGTGGAGGTTCGTAGGAAGGGGTCACTTGGCATCGATTATACAGGAGAGACGGTCCAGCACGACCACATCTACCCCTTCGTCCACCATACCGCTGTATTGTTATCGCGAGGTCTCACTGGATCGTCCTCTCTGTCACCGACCGTGATGACAACAACGACAAGCCATCCAGTCAGCGCTCCCCCATGATGACGCCAACGGCACGCGTCATCGCGTCATCGCCCGTCACTGGGCGGACTGGTGGCTGGTATGTGGCTGGTACGGTGGCGAGGCGGGTTCAGACAGGGTCCAGTTGCATGATTATTTTGGCTTTCCAAGGTTTCCGGACTACAACGAACGGTGTTCAGTCCCGACCTTCGAGTCTTGTAGTGGACACTAGCCGGTGGGTAGTGTAAAGTTGGTCTATTTTACCCGTTACGATGCCCAGTAGGCCCGTAGCTAACCGACAGTGATCGGCCGATCACCAGTTCGGTGCGGTCATTGGGCACACGCAGAACTCTGTCAGCCCCTAGTCTAATATTCCAGCAAATAGTCAGTATCGGCCTGCAGTAAGGTGTCGTCAGTCTCAGTCTTCATTTTGCTATACCGAGTGGCTCGTTAACAGCAGCCAGCCCCTGTCTCAGGCGAGCCAAACCTCAGCTGATCAATCTCAGTCTGCGGCTGTGCGCAGTCACTCAGGCTGCGACTCGAAGCAGTCAGTAGTCAGTCTCAATCGGCGGCTCTGTTCAGTGAAATGTCAGTCATGGTCTCAGTCTGTGGCTCTGTGCAGTCACAAGTCAGGCTCAATCTGTAGTCAGGTCCCACCAGTCTCAGTCTGCGGTCAGGTCCCACCAGCCTCACTCCGCGGCTCTGTGCAGTCACTATTCAGTCTCAGTCCGCGGCTCGGTCCCACCAGCCTCACTCCGCGGCTCTGTGCAGTCACCAGTCAGTCTCAGTCTGCGGTTCGGTCCCACAAGCCTCACTCCACGGCTGTGTGCAGTCAGTGGTCGACCCAGATGTCCGGTTATGCAGCGCCAGCTGCTGCGACCGGCTGATGGCCGGGCGGCACGACACGCCACCGTCCGCTCACGGCTATCCGTCCGCTCCTCTCACCCACCCGCCGTTCATTTCTCTCCTCTCACTGACAGCAATTCTCATTACGATCTCCACTCACCCACCGCTCCTCTCTAGCTCCTTCTCCCATGGGCTGTTCATTCATCCAACTGGCTGTCCGTTCCTTATAACGTTCCAACAGTTTTCTCTTCTCCCTCAAACCCAACACCGATGTGCCCATAAACGTATCGCAAGACGAATCTCATCACACATTCGTGACGAAGTTGGATGGGAAGTCACGGAATTACAATCAGTAACGGAGCTGGTTAGGGACTCTGAGGCGCTATCTGCGGAACGGTAAGCGGGTCAGCGGCCCGCTGCATCTCCCACGGGCATCACGCAGCGACAAGGTATGGAACCGCCCGGTCCGGACAGGGTGGGACACCGGTCGACGGCTACAACAAGCAGCCTCCGCCGTGATAGGGAGAGAAGGAAGTCCTGCAGACTCCACTGCGTGGCTGGAGTAACGCAAATCCCTTATCTCCCCGAGGATGACCCACCGCCGCCATGCGCGCTCTCGTCCAGGAGATATGCATACAAGAGCTCTTGTCGCGCTGTCAGTTGCCCGGCAGTGCGCAGTGATATTTTCACTTCACCCAGCGCCCCTCGGCTCCGTCTGACGTGGGGAAATTGGAGCGCGGGTGCAGCGAGACGGACCGTCGGCGCGAGACGAGAGCCACCGGCCGGCGGAGAGGTCCCCAGGGCACGGCGCACGGCCTCTCACCGACAGGTCGACACGGTAGGCCGAGCCGTGGATGGTAGGCAGACTGACACTTTACACAGCCCAGAGCCCGGCGACCCGGCTGTGTTGCTGCTGCGCGGCGCCGCGGTGCGTCTGAGAGCTGCGCGGTGCGTTTGATTGTGGCGCCATAGTGCGTTATTAGAGTCCCGGGGAGGGGGAGGAGGCGGCGCTCCAGCTCTGTGCCCTCTGAATATGCGGAACGCGGACGACAAGTCACTTCCATCGCGCAGATGATGATTTGGCTCTGTACACCACAGCTGGCGAGTCTATTACGTGAGCTGGAGGTCGACAGCGCCCAGCCGGCGGTGACGGCTGGCGGAGCTGATTCGACGCCAGTATTGCCGCCGCCCGACACAAACTGCGTCACATCTGCCGCGGGCGCCAGCCAGCACACAGTGATGTAATGGAGCGCCGGTGCAGCGGCACGGCCGCCGACCGAAATAGCTGGCGGTTCGTCCTGGCTGGCGGTTCGTCCGGTGACTCCTGATGGCCAGGCATCAGCTGACATCCAGCCCGAGACACACTAATTGCGCCACATATAACACACTCGGGCGCCAGTACCGCCGCATCGCTCCAGCGCCGTACACCCAGTGCTAACGACACAGCTACCTGTTGCGTCACCTATCGACAAAGCAAGAAGCTATAGTTACAACACGGCGGCCAGATGGCAGCACCCACCACCGAGCCGGCCGCCAAGTGTCGCGGACAGACAGACAGCGGGGCCGTCAGCCGCACTAACGATAACAAAGACAGGTGTCTGTGGCGGGCGTGGCTCTGCGTGCGCTATGTTTAGCCGGTCAGCGCGGGCACCACGGGCGACGCAGTGGTTTCAGGCTGGGAGCGTTTGGGAGAGGTCCCCGCCGGTCGGTCGGACACCTGAGGACTGACGCAGCCCGCCGGCTCGCCGGCGCGTTTCTCGGGCCACCCTCAGCGTCGGCAGGTGACTCAGAGCCCGAGCTGTGGCAGCCTTCCAGCGCCGTCCTCTGTTCGGCAGCCAGATGGTAAACTAGCCGCCCGGCCGGTAAACCGAGGCCGGTAACATGTCACACCAGCGGACAACACGCGCCCACCAAAAACAGACGCGGCAATCCGACCCAGAACACCGCGCACATAACAGGGAGCCGTGGCAGCTGAGAAACTCGGGTATAAATACAGTGCCAAAAAAACATCGAAAGCCGTCAAAGTCAACGAACAAATCGAGGTCCCATAACTTGCATAATGCATATGGATATGGACACGTATCACGGAATAGTCTTATCTACGATAGCACGAAAGCACGCAATATCCCGACATGTAGAAAACACAAATGCGTTCTAGGTCACCCGCCCAAGCGCAGTAATGCAGCAGTCACCACGTGCATCGCAGCCTGAGTGTGCAGTCTGGCCCACACTTGTGCGAGATCACGCAGCCTCGCAGCGCTTCCGACCTGCATAAAACATGCAGCATGCATTATCCACCGAGCCGTCCCGGCCGAAGCCACTCGCGTGCGTCACTCGACGGCCGGCTGTCTTTGCCCGACCCGACCGCCGCGTGTCACGACTGTGTCACTCAGCCCAGAGTTCAGACACTGTCAGGAGGTCTCAGGATACCCGTGCACTCCACGAGCGGGTGTAAGGGATGAGGCGAACAGCTCAGATCAGACATTGTCAAGAGTCCTCAGACTAACTGTGCGTTCACTGAAAGGGTGGAAGGAATGTGGCGCCCAGATCAGATTAAACAGTCAAGAGTCCTCCGGCTACCCGTGCGCTCCACGAGCGAGTGTACGGGATGTGGCGCCCAGGTCAGACCTCAGCCTCTATCACGAGGTCTCAGTTCTCGTGATTCTCATAGGCAGTGGTACAGCCCGGGTCATTTATATCAGACCCCGCTCTTGTCGAGGCACCAGTCTCCGAAGTCGTGACAGATGTCACAGTGTGACACTGTAAGATAGGAGTCTCTAATGGCATATGGTCAAGGATCACGACAGCCATTTGGTAGGACTGATGTCTTCCAGACTCCAGACCGACTCATTAGACGTTCAACGTCACAATATGCCACTTTAAACCAAACCTGAGCGAATCTCTAGGCGGGTACCAGTTCCTACCTGAATCCCACAAGCCTGATTTCAATCTACTGGCCATTTTCCCTTCAGTGGTAGTTGGTACCCAGCCCATCATTTGCCATTTCACTGTCCTGCCTGTGGGCTCTTCTGCCAGTGACGGCACGATCCGTTCAGCCGAGCGGTAAACGGCAGAGAACTCATAGCAATTTCACTGTGCTGTCCTAGCCTCTGGCGGACTCGCCTCCATACTCTGGGAAGCATTCATGGACGCAATTCAGTTTTGCGACGAAATGACGTGGAATCTGTCTAGGCCACCGGGTACCGTTCGTACCTGAGCCGGAGTGTTACATCCCACAGCTGACCCAGACTGAGAGGACATGTCAACCAGCCAACCAACCAGCCTACTAAGCTGCTCAGCCACTACTTGGTGACAGCCTGCAGTTCTAAAACGAAGACTTAGCCCCGAACACCGAGCCACAACGCCAAAATCACACTAGCTGGGAACAACCGGAAGGATGGCAGCTGCAGCACCATCTAGGGGTGAAGAATCACACCCATGAACAGCATAGAGGCACACTGCCTCCAGCACTAGCCTTTAAGGGCTCTCCTCCGCACTGCCTTCCTGTTTGACCTTCTTGAATAGGCAGTGTCCTTTACAGACCATCTTATCCCAAATCCCTCACTATCACAACGATCTCAGTCATCAGTGCCGATACAGCTCTTCCACCTCCCACATCCTACTTCACCCAGCATCCTGCCGCATCCAGCAGCATCACTCACCTTATTGACTTTGGCAGGTGGAGCGGCATGGTCAGCGATGAGTGTCTCCGGTACGGTCATCAGCGGAGACGGTCGCAGCGACGACATGACGCGGCGGCGACGGTGGTGGCGCGCTCAGCTGGCGGCCATGCCGGCGGGGGGACTCCTCATCGGCGGTCGGTCGGTCGGTCGGGGCAGAGGGAGGCCGGCAGAGGACAGCGGATGGGGAGAGAAGGTGGCAGATAGGGTTGATGGTGCTTTGGGAGAGAGGCAGAGAGTGACTGGGCCGTAACAGGGAGAGCAGAGGGTGAACACGGACGGGAGGAGGAGGCAGAGTAGAGTGCCGTGACGAAATTCAGCTCGAAACTGCGGCCAATGGGCTCTGAAAACACGACACAGACTGTCAAAAATGTTATACGAAGTACCTACAAACATGTGGATGAATTGAATAAATAAAGTGATTCTTTGGGTAAAACCATTGTAAAATGCAGCAACACCAGCCAGATATCATATCTTACTTGAAATGACAAAGTTGAACAAAATCTGTCATTTCTAGCAGAAGACACTTGAATGATAGCTTGGTAAAAGAGTTGTTTGCTCTTAAGCAATGCACATGAAATTATCATCAATTCATCAGACATCAGTAGCTAATAAACCTGGGGAAATTACAATCTTGACTGTTTTGATACCATGAAAACACAGTTACATTGAACAAAGGCAAAGGCAGACATCTAACATAAGGTCATAGTCCAGATCTAGCCTAAGTGTTTATTATCTAAAAAAAGTTAACAATTTGTGGCACTTAAAAAAGTGACACTGGTAGCTGATGTCATGAGCATCACTGATCCAACTTCTTCTAGAAGTCAAGCACAAAATTCAGTTCAGTTTTGAGAAAATGGGATGAACAATATTACCATACAATTCAAACATTTTTATCACATAAGATTCAATTAACAAACTGAAAAAAGACTTCAGCAATCCATTTAGAAACAATTTGATAATTGTTCTGGCAGGAGAAGTGTGCATCCTTTGACTTCCCAGTCCAAGATTCATGACTGCCACTAGTAAGGTGCTTGCAGAGTCGATCAGATCCCCACTGGCCTTATAGGCCTCAAAATTCTGTATTGGTAAGGAAACTAGGCAAGGTAAGGTAAGGTGTTCTAATACAAATCAATTCTATGTTCCATAGCAATCACTAGTTCTAATACCTCTAATGCACAACAATATGCAGAACTTATAAGAAAAACTATACAGCACATATGCATGGCTTGGGTTCAAATGGCCTACTGTTACATGTTATACATGCTATGTTATGTTATGAATGCATTGTATAGCAAAAAATGTGTTATTCCAGCCCGTTGTACACGGGCAACTCCCGTCGGCAATTCCCAGCAATTGGTTGCTCGGCAACAGCCTTTTCTGTTGCTCTGGGTTGCTGAAGTGCTGCCAAATGCTATTCAGGGTTGTTCAAAAATTGCCCAATATGTCGGCAACATCCGACGATCGCCGACGGTCGCGGAGCGTGACGTCACGATAATTATAACCAATGAACGAGCTGTTGCTCTCGATCGCCGAGAAGTTGAATATTTTGAACTTTCTGGCTGTCGATGAGGTGTTGCTGGATGGTACTGCAGTACGAGCATGCAGCTATGGAGCAGCAAATAGGTAAGATATTTACAAAATACCGTCCTCTTTGCCGATTACTAGTCAGGATATATGAAAGGGATTTTTACTGGTTGGATATTGGTCTTAATTTTGATTTATTGGTGGGGATCAGTGCCGGAGAAGCCGTGCGGGACCGTCCCCCCCCCAGGCCCCATTGCCGGCTCGGGTCGCCCGCTCGGGTTGCCGGCGGAAGTTGCCCGTGTACAACGGCCTTAAAGGGTCCATGGATAAAACAACTGACAGCAACAATGGTTATACTTTTACAAAAGCTGTAGCCTGTTAGTGCTAAGAATAACAAGATGAGCATCAAAGAAAAATGAACAAAATAACAGTTCTTAAGAATAACTTATAACATATAAAGCACATAATCAATCATCTAAAAAATAAAGATAAATTTCACCAGTCAAATCCAGACAAAATAACTCCTCATTAGGGCACAAGAACACATATATAATTTATAAACAAAATTAAATATTCATGTCATATGATCAAAAAGTAATGCTGGTACTTTAACACACCCACCATGCAGGTTAAAATGCATCTATGATTTATACGAACCCCACACGACAAGGAGTAGGTAAAAACTGAAACTGTTAACATTTCAATTTAGCTAATTTTGACAGTTTGATTTCTTTTGAAACCACTCAACTGCATTTCTAAAAATTCATTAGTTTATTTACCAGCATCCATCTGCTTGGCATAAACAAATTGCCCCTGGTGGTTGTAAATAATGAAATTGTTATGTTATATTGGCATGCAAGCACCAGTGAAATCAAAACAAAAAGCAAAGGAGGTGAAATTAGACTCACTGAATCATCGAGACTAACCAGACAGATTAACTGGTATCAACAAACAATATAGAAAACAGCATGCTTGTCTATGAAATTAAGGGCCTGTTCCAGCGCCTCCAGAAACCTCCAGAAACCTCCAGAAAGCTCTAGAATCCTCCAGAGAGCGTTCCAGCGCCTCCAGAAAGCTCCAGAAAGCTCTCGCCAAAGCTCCAGAAACCTCCAGTAGCCTCCAGAGAGTTGGGAGGTCCAAATTTCTCTGGAGGCTCTGGTCTACAATTATGGCGCACATGTGACAATCACGAATGTAAGCAAAAAACTTTTGACTGATGATTTTACAATTTGAATGTAAAGAAAATTACCTTGCTATAATTTTGTTAATCTTTTTTACAAAAATTGAAAACAAATTTTGCGTTTCAAGAGAGAACAATCGTCATTCTTTTGGTATCTAATGGCGCTAATCTCCAGAAATCTCCAGTTTGCATTCCAGCGCCTCCAGTGAAACCTCTGGTAGAGCCTCCAGTCAAGAATTTCTACTGGAGGCGCTGGAACAGGCCCTATTTTTAATGAATGGAAACCCATATAAGTGTAAATGAAGCTTTCGTTTCACATGCGCAGGAATCGTCGCAACGATAAGCGGACAGGTTTGCATGCCTATTCTAGGCGGTTAGGAGACAGTTAGGTGAACAATCAACTTCTCACCTGAATTTCGGACGCCCAGGCACCGACAAAGATGAACGTAAGCGTCTAAATACCAATTAAAAGTGCAAGATGGCGTTCGATAACACCGCAGAAAAATCAGCACCGTCGACTGCGCATGCGCACAATGCAGCGGCGGCTGGCGAAGCGATTGGCTGTGACGTCAGCGGTCCAGCCGGTGAAAGCATTCGGTACGGTAAAGCACAGGGGGGTACGCTCCGGCTGTTTAGCATTACGAAAAGTGGTGACAGACGTTTGTGGAGGATTGTCGACGAACTCTTGTTCCGCGAGCAGCACTCACGCGCTAGCGGAAAATCCACCAATCAGCGCTCGGCAGTGCTCGACGCTGATTGGCCCGACGCTCGTGACGAAATTGCGGGGGACCGCAGTTATTCTCTATGGACCCGAATAGGCTTTTGGATTTCGGAGGGGTTTCTTTAAGATTATATGCTGTTTCGAGCTGTTTTCGAGTTGAAATATATTTCTTATGACTGTTAGCTATATAATGGCACCATAAAATCATGATTTTAATTAATATTACCGATGTAATATCGGCCGAAAAGACATGCTGTCTTGGCACGGACTGCCCTGCGGCTGATGTGGGGCCTCTAGTGTCAGCGTATGGTAATAATGGACTGAAGAAGGGTTATTGGAGACTCTTAGAGCCCCACCAGGATTCAGTATAGGGTCATCAGAGGCCGGGAACGTCCATCAGGGGTCTGAGTAGGCCTGCCATAGGGGCATTACATGACACATCATGGAACATGGGTCAATCTAGATCCATTAGGGGCCGTTGAAGGGCCATCATTGTTCAGCGTGGGCCCGCACTTACCTCTGATGGGCATGCCGTGCCCCGATGGACTAACGCTGGCCTCCGATAAACCATCACCAGCCCCTGATAGGTCTACAAAGCCCCCTGCTGGGTCTAAATTGGTCACTGATATGCCCAAATGGGTCACTGAGAAACCCGTACAACATCCCCTGACTGCACCTGATGGACCAATGCCGTCCCCTCATGGGCCCACCACGGCTCTTGAATGGCCTCTTCAAGTCCCTGAAGCGCCTTTATTGGCCTAAATGGACCCCTGATTGGCTTATGTGGTCCCTAATGGTCCTATATGGCCCCCATGAGCCCTCAATTCGTCCCGAGACAGCCTTACATTATATGCCACCGGCCCCTGGTAGGCCTGCACTGGACCCACTGGGCCTATACCGACCCATAAAGGGCCAATGTCGAGCCCTCATGGGCCTCCGATGACCACACGCCGGCATGTGTGGCCCCATCAGCAGGGGTCCGTCTATCCCATGTACTTCGGTCTTTTTGGCCGATGTGACACCGGTAGTATATAGAAATGTCATGATTAAATGTCGTTATTATATAGTCAAAGGTCATGGAAAGAATATCCAAGCTCAAAAATGGCCTCAAACCCAACAAAAACTGATACAAATCCCCTTCAAAAGTCATAAGTCAATGAAACGCCATAGGGGAGTAGCTGCAGTCCCCCGCAATTTCGTCACGAGCATCGGGCCAATCAGCGTTGAGTATTGCCGAACGCCGATTGGTCGATTTCCGCTAGCTTGTAAATGCTGCTTGCGGATATAGTCTTGAACAAGTGAGGGTCGCGGCAACTAAATATTGCTTGTCACCACTTTTTCTTCGGGAGCGTTCTACCTGGTTTATATAGCCTTGGGTAAAGCAGCTCCACAATCTATCGCCGTATGCATAATATGCACCCAATTCACCCAGACCCACGGCCAGGTAAGGCGGAACAGAGATCTCGGCGGATGGTCACAGGAGAAGCGGAAACCGCGCGGACACCTCGTTTTCACAATAAGCGTGCAGCGCGACGCCTTTTTATCGTGCCCTGCCCGGCTCATTCAGCTCTCTGTTCGCGAACAGGCGCAGGTGTGAGGCGCGAGGCCGAGGAGCCGGGCGGCACGGTCCCCCAACCAGCTCGGCACGACACTTGGAGCACGGAATTTCACACACGTGAACGCGAAAAACAATAGCAGATATGAGAATGCATTGCCATTCCTGTCTACCTTGCATAAGGCAAGATGACATCGGTACCTATCACAAACACCTCACGACCTCCCCTTTCGCGAAAACTCGACAACCCATAGCGACACAGGACGTGTATTGGAACAAGTGGCAAACCCGTCGCCCAGTACATTTCTAAACACATCACGGCGGTCGACAAGGAGTCCTTGGCAGCAGAAAAGCACAGTTGGCAGTGCTAAATTTCGAGTTGGAGCTTAGCGCCATGTGGACTGTGAAGCAGGGGCGTCGACGCGTAAGGAAAACTGGTCCGACTTTTTCTCGGGGGGCCCCCACCGGTGGGAGCCCCCAGGGGCCCCCGTGGCCGCAGCAGGGCCCCCCGAGAGCCCCAACAGGGGCCCCCGCGGCCGCAGAAGGGGACCCCGCGGGCCGCAGCAGGGCCCCGCGGTGTCTAGCAGGGCCCCAGAGGCGCAGCAGGGCCCCCGCGGTCTCTAGCAGGGCCCTCCGAGCCGCAGTAGGGCCCCCGCGGTCTGCAGCAGGGGCCCCCGCGAGCCACAGCAGGGCACCGCCTAGTCGAAAAAGTGGTCCGACTAGTCGGAAAAGTCGGACCGGTGTCGACGCCCCTGCTGTGAAGCCCAGCTACATGGAGTCATACGAAATGTACCAAGCATTTTGAACTCCGGCTTTAATCTTCAGTACACAAAATCACTGAAAAAGCTTATTAGCCATTGCACTGTACAAACTGGCTGATAACACCATGGTTAACGGTCTTCCCCCTGAAAAAGAAGCATGCTAAGGAAAACGTCAGACGATAAGTGATAACCCTGATTCACAATGGACACAAGCACTAAGCGATGGCAGGTAACTGGAGCGTATCACCCGCAACGGAAGGGGCATACTCTGTGAGACGTTATCAACACTACAGTGATCACATCGGCACAGTAAGGCACAATGCAGGCCTTTTCCAAACTAAACAGCAAAAAAAAAAAAACACACCGTCCTACAACTCGAGAATCAAACACTTCAGCCAACATCGGTTAAAAACGCAGGGAACAAATCACAACGTAAACAGGGCCGCGCCCTTCCTAACCCTTCAGTAGAGCAGACACCGGACAAAACTCCTTACAGCATATGTCAACTGCCGAGATCCTCAGACGTAGAAACGTTCCATACGTCACACCGTCGAAATGACATTCATTCGGTCATCAAATACCACAGGCAGAAGTCTATACTATCAAAACAAGTTTATCATTCATCACGCAGTAGGTTTCCTAACGTAGCAAATCTTACTACGATCACATTTCCGATTGGCAAGTAAACGGACAGACTCCAGCGTTTCACGCCCTCAGAAAACCGTTTCGGCACAACCCCGCACAGCCAGACCCTGCCGCGATCAACCCATACCGTATCGCCACATCCCTTACCAGACACTGCAGTGGAGTCGATCACATCTTTCACCTTTTCTGAACAGTCGGTGGACAGGACGCTATCCTGGAGCAATGCCTCACTCGCAAATAAGGGAAGACTCACGGAGAGTAGAGGGTACCATCAGGACTAACTGACCCCTTATCGAAGTCCCTCTGTACGTAAGCGGACGGAGTTTCTCTCTCGTGACCGAGTGGTTTCGACGGCAGACTGACTCATGACAGTTCATGCCTCAAATGGAAGCGTTCCCATGCCGAATGGACAAAATGACCCTGCTTGGCGCCTAGGGGTGATGTATCAGTAGTTTAACCCATCCAGCCGCCGATCCCCATGGGACGAATTATTCATGCTTGGCGTCTGGAGCTCTGCCCGTTCGCTGCTGACTCTCTCCGTCCATCAGAGCGCTAAGCCCACTGACCTCTCGCCGTCCCTCAGTGAGACGACAGCGCCAGAACCACTGACCTCCCGTCCCTCAGTGGGGAGGCAGCGCCAGAACCACTGACCTCCCGTCCCTCAGTGGGGAGGCAGCGCCAAATGGCTCAGCACCGCCTCCCTGCACAGAACGGGCGACTCGGGCGGGGCCGGCTCGGCCACCCCGATCCCGTCTGTCCTCCACGGCCACACGAGCCGCGAGCGGAACGAGTGTCGGAATTCAGCCACAGAGCCGTCCGGGACGGTGAAGGAGCTCTTGTTGTGGTGCCGGTCGAACCAGTAGTGGCGCTGTTGGGTGCGGCTGAACGATACCGTCCACGGGTCTGGTGGAGGGGGGGGGGGGGGGACAGGGGGCGTCAGAGATTGTCGACGGAGTTCACGGTCAGGCATTTATCTATGAATTGGCAATCAAATTCATCGGTAGTTTCCGATGTTCTCATTTCTTTCGTTTACTAAAATTGAAATATTTTTTATGCATAAGCCATGATGCATTGACAAGTAAAACACTTCTTTCAATCATGAGCAATGCTTAGTGTAGATTGTAGAAGTATACTAGGTATGAGCAATGTTTACTAGCATTCATAACAAGAAAATCAGTAGTCCCGTCTCTCACCTCTGGTGCTGCGCAGCATCATCAGACCGGTGGGCACGAAGAACACCACCTCGTCGGGCCCCTCGCCCTCATCGACCACATGGACCAGACGCTGGAGGCCGTGAGAGCCCTTCACCGGGCACCGCTCGAAACTGGCGGCAGAGCGCAGACCAGAGGTTAAGCCGACAGTACTATGGTTAGACACACAGTTACGCCCGATCGCGGCAGTAGCTTGTGACACAGAGGAAACAGAAAACGAGGATTCCTTTAAAGGCAAGCATTATTAAAGTGCGCCGACAAGCTTAACTTTCAGCTGTTAGTTCGTAGAGTACTTCATGGATACCAAATAAGTGAAGTCGGATTCAGAAAAAAACGTGATGTAAGTTACTGTTGTGGTCCATTGAACTCCCAATGACTCCGCTCCCCCGACTCACCCTTCCAGCAGCCCGCGCAGCTCCTCCATCTTATACGGCTTCTTGCAGCGCACCGGTGCCAGATCCGACCGTGTGGGTTTGTTGACGGCCGCGGCGAACGCGGTGCAGGCGGCCAGTCGGCGCGGCAGCGGCATTCGACGCACGTCCTCTCCGCCGAGCACCGCCGCGTCCATCAGGTGGAGCGCCTGGCCGCGCCGCTGCGCCTGGGGCTGTGCCAGCCGGCCGCGCAGCTCGGGAACCAGCTCGGCGAGAGCCAGCGTCTCGGCCGGCAGCTCCACGCCGTCCAGCTTACTCCACTGCGGCTCGGTCAGACCGCGCCGCCACACGTTCTTACGGCCCAGACCTGAGACACGGGCAGAGGGGTTAGGGTTAAGTTGTTGACGTCCTGATGTTTTTTTCGCCTCGCGAGTCAACTATTGTAGAAGAGAAGCGTATACAATCTGTCGAGAAGATACTTAATCACTGACCAGGCATATTACAATAAATGATAGTCAACATTCAACAACTACCAGATACTGCAAAAAGGGACATACATCACAAATCGGATTCCTACTTAGCCGCCATCGTTACCATGCTTATCCACATTCCCTACCACATATCGAAAATCACGGCAATGCCTTTCCATCACTCACCGAGCACGAAGAACCTGTCTCGGCGCGTATCGGGCTCCACCCCCAGCAGCATGCCCCTCCAGTCAAACTGAGAGCGCACATGACTGAGCAGCGTCTTCTGATCGAGCCTCACTCCTCCAGCGGCGGCCGCCTCCAGCTCGTGTTCCGCCCCCATCTGGCGGAGCGCCGCCTCTGGGCGCTGCGCCGGCGGCCGGGAGGTGCGCGCTCGATCCGGTACCTTCCACACGGAGAGACACTGCTGGCGCAGCTCCTGCTGCCGGTCCTCTCGCAGAGAGGTGTCCCGGTAGAAAGTGCGGATCTTGGTCAGACCGGTGATCTGACGCTCGCCGAGACTGAGAAAGGGAGGGTAATGGTGATTATCGATGACTATTAAACGAGTTTTAAGATACACGATAAGCATAAAATCCGTCATTAGCTTCTGAAACGCTTATTACCGATGCTTTAAAACAACTGTGACATTTCGCGTCGGATAATCTTAGTTCACATTCATCCCATTAGATAGCGGGCCACTGTCAGCCTGAACAGGTATACTGTGCCGCAAGACTAACTCGTACGGCTGAACGTAGCGGGACAGGCTCGCCATCAGCGTTTTCGGTAAAATCAAGTGAGGCTGTTCAACACTAGTCCACTCGCTGAGGGAACAGTGCCTCTCACTCCTCTGGGCTACAGAGCGCCCGTCCAGCTGTTGTTGCTGTCCAAGTTCACACAGTGCCACCAAACTAGGGAGGCGATCGCGACCAAATTAGAAACCGGACGAAATTGGATGCCACTGAACCCCATCGAAACTCAGTGTTTGACTTTTACCTTGTTTCGTATCGTCTAGCTGCAGATGAAGTTCGTACTGTAATCAGCTGTAGTGAACTACCAAAGATGCTAAATGTATCACCTCCTATTGGACCCCATCACACAATTACAATTGCCGCCGGGTGTCGGCAGTACAAATGTAACCGAACGAATCTAAATCGGTACACATGTAACCGAGCAAAACGAAGTGCATCAACGAAACGCAGTGTTCAAGTGTAGATTGTTGAAGTTTGACAGCTTATCGGATGATTGAAACCATTGTAATTCCTGAATCAAAGATGACCTCAGCTCAAGATGTGATTACGCTATCGCCTCGGCCAGATTATAACACTCCCGCAACTTACGGTGTTCAATAATAGATGGAGTGCATGGGATGCTAGTATCATGCTTTCATTGCCTCCCATTCCGCCATATTGAGTACCCAGTGATGCGCTGACAGTACAATTAAACATTGTCTTCACTGTTTAACGGCCGTGGCAAAGTCCCTAGCACATCACTTACACGATGCTAGACTCTAATGGGACGCACTCACAGAATTCAACACACTGTAATGCCTGTTGGATTATGTGATGTACGATTACTATCACGTTACTGAACTCTACGGTGTCGGGTGTGCTCAGTACTCACACGTTGTTGGACTCTGTGATGTACTGACATATTGTTGGTTGGACTCAGTACTCACACGTTGTTGGACTCTGTGATGTACTGACATATTGTTGGACTCAGTACTCACACATTGTTGGACTCTGTGATGTAGTCGCAGAAGGCGGCGTCCTCCTTCAGCACGTTCAGCGGCACTATGCTGGTGACGTCCTCGGCAGAGACGGAGCCCAGCTGCTCCAGTCGCTGATTGATCCGGTCCATGTACTCCCGAATGTCGTCCGTGTCCGGTCGGCGCCACTTGCAGATGATGAACCTGGCGGGGGGAGTTCGGGGGTAAAGGGGGGACGAAACGCTGCTACCGGGTCACTATAATGCTGAAGCTGATAGAGGCGGAACACACTCACCAGGCTCAGAATGAATGAGTCAACCAATGACAAACTAAAAATGCTTATGCGCCAACATAGCATGGGTCCTACCTTCCTCGACCGAATAATATAGGACCTAGGGTAACATCAAAGACATTTGGTACCTCCTTATCCAATGCGTCGTCCATACTCAGAGTTGGCCAGTCAGCTGATGCTGGGTTCTATGACGAGTTTACGGGCCTCCATCAGTCGAAGTTCACAGCGTCCCTATCCATAGTTTGCCGAATCAGACCGCCCTCAGTGTAAGTCCTCACCTTTCCAAGCTGATCGGTCGGCTGGTGATGGATTTCATTACTAGTTTACATACCTTCCTCAGCTTACAGTACCCCCTTATCCATAATTAAAGACCACCCTGCGTGTTAGACACTCACCTTTCCGAGTTGGCCGGCCGGCTGGTGTTGGGTTTCATGATGCACACCTCCCTGAACGCCATGCTCATAAGGTAGACCAGACCGACGCTGAACGGCGTGAACAGGTCGAACAGCTTGCACACAAAGTGGCCGTCTGAAACAGGGGAGCAGAAAGATGTTATATCGTATCGTGATATCCGGTTTGTGCTGATAATGAAACTGAAAGTAACATAAAACATTGACATATGCAATAAATCACACAACAAACGGCATATAGTGGCCAACTGGAAACGGAAAAGCGGGAAAATTTATATGCAATACAAATAAATGCATAACAAAAGCAATGTCAACCAAACACGCAGACACACTCAACATTTTAGACAATACGCATTAAGCACGTCCATAGTAACATGATTCATGTTATCCATGTTATCTATTCATGTTATCTATGGCACGTCTCAAAGTCACTGGTGTCGCACTACTCACCTGTCCGCACAATGTTGAGCGCAGTGAGAAACTGGCAGAGATACAGCTGCTTGGAGAGAATCTCCTGAATGTTCTCCTGTCCGTCCACCGAGAAACCCTGCAGAAATCGGAGACAACATTCAGCAAACGATGCGAGAGTAGAGACATTACGATACATAAAAGCGTGACCCCGAAGGTGAATACTTGGCGTGCGAGACTTGCCATCGTAAATACCAATTCCATACAAGGCTTATTAGTCAGATATCCTGTCCCACCTCGCCATAAGTGTTAAAACCGAAAGTCAACGAAACGAAATACCAACTATCGGACCGTCATAACAGAAATCAGGCGGAACCAGCTCTCACCCCGTCTGCCATCATGAAGTGGACGCCGAGTCCGCCTGTCCGCCTGAGCACGTAGTTGCGGAACGCCTGCTGGTTCTTCCGGCGGAACACGTCCCCGTCTCCCTGGATTCCGCCCTCACCTGTCGAATAACACGGGGCATTACCAGTATGCGCAACATAGAAATACATGTCGGACCTCTATGTTGTTTCATGTTCCATTCAGACGTGATCTGACATTCGTAACATGTGCGTCGTGCGACTGATGCGCAACTAAATGTTATGCGTAGCTGATAAATTGCATCTGACATATCCGCAAAAAAAATCAACATGATAGGCAACTAAAACTACAAAGAGCCTTAATGGATTAATAAACCAAATGTGACGTTCATGCCATCAGTCACTGCACTAACACAAAAAACGTGATACGCATCTCGTACGTCATCCTGATCGGAACCTGCACTTACCGTAGTGTGGCTCGAACGTTTCGGCCGGCCCGGCGTGGAAGTCGTGCAGCTTGAAGTCGTGCTCTCCCTTCAGCGTGAATCCGAATCCCTTGGCGCGCCACCGTTTGCGCCATAGGACGTACTCGGAGAATCCGCCCGGGCCGGCGCACACGTCGGCGAAATAGAGGATGTCGTTGTCGCCCAGCTGGTCGCCCTGAGGATACAAGGTTATGGAATCAAGGGTCGCAAGAATATCATACTACGTCCTAAGTTGTATACGATTGGCACATATTGAGTGGATAACTATAAAAGCATAGCAACTGCTGAAGTTCGAACTACGAAAGTAAACACGACTGAATGTCTCTGTGTAATGCGGCAACATCACGTCGCTAAAAAGGGTCGTCAGAGGGAAACAAGTTTGGGCATTGCGTGCAACGGCATATCTAAAACTGAGTCTGTACTCACCCCGTCCGGGTGTGTAGGTTTGGTGAACATGAAGTCGAACCGTGCGTCCATATTAGCCATCTTCATGGCGGCTCGGTTCAGAAAGAATACGCCCTTGATCGACTCGAACGGGTTGGAGCGGCTGCGAGCGCGCCGCATCTCATCCGGCTGTAGCTGGTCGAACACGCTCTGCGGAACGACCGCGATAGGTTGGACACATTGTAGCGGGCTGTAGCGACATCTGTCTAAACTCACTCTAAGTGTAAGGAGGTGTCAAACCAAGCGCTTACAAGACGCGGTCTGGGGGGGGGGGGAGGCAAAGACAGAAACTACTGTACAACGAAAATCAAAATATACAAAAAGTAATAGCATCCTTGCCTAAACGAAATATCACAATATTGATTATCGATGTACGAAATAGATAGGTACGCAATGTATGGCCCAGGGGACCACGAGAACCTCTCAGGTGATGCCGGTCAAAATCAAGCCCCGATACATCAAAACACTAGTAGGACACTATCCGTACCTTGCAGTTGAGCACGTCTGAGAGGACTTTGGCCGAACAGAACTCTGTCTCGCCATCGAGCTCCTTTTTCCGAGGTCCCTCCTCCATCCAGTCCAGCATCGTCTCCAGCGAGGGGATCTCCTGGTCGTAGGAGGGCATCCACGAGATGCTCTCCTCCACCTGGCGGTGTAAGTGGACATTCAATATACGATCTGTGTTGAAGAAAAAAAAACTGAAAAAACAATTATTGGGACGTTACTTGGTGTAAAACGTACACATATCAGTTACTCAACTTCCCCGCCAATAACAACCCACATACTCCGCCAAGCTACACAGACAGTTGGACAAAAAGCAGTAACGTCTCAATACTCAAATCACCTCCACAACTTCGTCGGCGGGGTCCCACTCGAGGTCGGTGGCCGGCTCCAGACCGGGCAGCTGCAGGCCCAGACCGCGCCGGCCGCGCTGTGTGGAGGCCTCCACCGGGTCGACGATGCCCTGGCCGGACTTACCCAAACCGCTGCCGTGCTTGAAACCCATGCCCGCCTGGGGAGGAAGAGAACGACGCGGTGGTCAGAGGAAGACTGGGGACTGGCGCGATAGCACAATATAGAGCCAGAATCGCCAGGATATAGCACTAGATGCCGTTTTCGGATTACTGTAGTCGATATCGAGGTAAATCAAGCATTATACTATCTGTAAAACTCCGTGAAGCACATGACTGTTTGAAACATGATTTCATAACTTCGTAAATAAGACGGAAAAGCATGCCTGGTCAACCAACTGGGTCGAAAGCGTGGGTTGCAATTCAAGCGTTCAGATCTTCTGTATCGATTTTTATCAACAACAATGAGCCTCGTTTACACACGCACCATCATTTTCTGTGCCACCGAGCTGTACTCGGCCACCGTTTTCTTCTTTTTGACGGGCGGCAGCTTCAGTTGCGAATCCTCTCTATCGGGCGAGTGGTGTCGTTTCTTTGCAGGGAAACTGTCCGGCCAGCGCTGCTCCGGCGGCGGCACCGGGCCGTCATCGTCGCTGGAGAACGACCGACCCCCAGCGCCGGCCAGGGTCGGCATCTGCAGGTCCGGAGAGCGGGTCGGACCGGACGGCGGCGCGCGGCGCTTGGCCGAGCTGCCGAACGCCGGACGGCGCGGTCCCGGATCGTCCGGATCATCGCTGGAGTCTGTGGGACACCGGGACAGAACATGTTGGTAATTACAGTGGCTGCAGAGTGCAGGCTGTTCATTTTGCTCCTGCCCTGCTTGTTACATCGCTTGTTTTGATATGATGAGCAATGCAGGGTGGTAGATTTGTGTCAACATTTATACATTACATAACAGATTTTCAACTTTTAAATTGTATAGAATAGAAAAAACATAATGACAGTTTAGTGCTGTGAAAGGACACAGAGCTCCTCCTAAAGCACCTATGAAATGAGGAGTAAACAACAAATGTGATATCAATCAAGAGACTTAATATCTTGAAACATATCTAAAAGGCACACCAAATACAGTTCAAGCAAAGAAAACAAATACAATAAAAGCTAGGTCAACAGATGGTAGATTAGCTACTAAGCTAAACACACACATGCGCAAATTCATCATCAAATAAATGCTACCATGAACATGCTTAACTTTGTGTTTAAGATATGAATTATGAATTCAAAAACTTACCACTGAGATTACGGGATGCCATATCAAAAGTCAAATCAAAGCAGTAAAGAAAATTAAATATTAAAGCAAGGCTAGGTATACTTCCAGTTCCACCAGCTAGGTATACTTCTTCCAAATATTGGCACTGATACCTGAGAATGTAAAAATATCAACTGCTCACTGGCATTCAGATTCAGGCAGAGCATACAGGCTAGTCACTACATTTCATTATATATTTGGTAATTGCTAGAATGGAAAACATTGATATTTGAATTTGATCAAACAATTGCCCCTCTGTGCTAAAGTCAGTCATGTCCTGACAGGCAAGTTAGGTAGCAAACTGAAACACAACTTGAACTGTGTGCACTTGAGAGCAAAACATGCTCATCTTTGATTATAGACAATTATATCTGACACTTGCAGTGTATGGGATAGGTGCTTAAGTAAAAGATATATTAGATACAGGTGGATCGGGTCCAGGATCCCAAAATGTGTCATAATGCATTCTCATTCTGCTAATGAAAAGATTATCTCAAGCAAAGTATCTATTCATATACCATTAGACATTCTGATCCATTTTTAATTTTCATGAAATTTGAGCAGTGGGAGGGAATAAGTTTTCTTTCTAAATAAAAAGATGCTAGGTGCAAGGACCTAAACGCTAGCTCATTCTAGCTCAGGAAAAACTGCCGAACCTTTCGTCAATCCCTGCTTTAGCTGGGACGACACCAAGACGACACCAAGGCTATATAAACCGACGACACTGAGCAAACACCTAAGTCCATGTCACACCTAAGTCCAAGTTAAAGGGACCCTCCCACCTTCAAAAAAGTTAATGAATTGGCACGAAAGTGATGTCGCTCGGTTCAGAAAGAGCGAAAACGAATATCTACCAAATTTCATCGAAAAATATTCACCGCAAGATATTAGACTTTTACTTTTGTTTACTTTTTGGGATCTCCGCTGTTCCTAGCGACTTTATTTGAAAGTGCGGCATTTGTTGCGCGCAAAGCAGCATATACCACCGCATGCTACCAAACGTTTTAGTAAAAGATTTAAAAATCGTTAGATCTCCGCTGACGTCACAAATTCTAAGGGGGCATACCAATGCACTAGCCCCTTAGAATCCGAAAACTGCAAGTTTGAAATTCCATATCTCCGAATTAAAGCATTTGTCGATGTTGTGAGTGCCCAAACCGGTATTTGCAGGCCATGGCCACCAATTTGGCTATCTCAACTCAAAACTAATGTTAAGGTGGGAGTGTCCCTTTAAATAGTTTGCATCTGTGATGAATACCTATTACCTACTAACTTTTTATCTGCAAAAGCCCATGAAATAACAATAAAATACATAAATTGAAATGCCTCACACACACACGCTACCAAACAGCAATGCCGAAAATGATGGCATGCGTCAACTTTGTAACAGCTGCGTCACTGATGTCTTCTAGAGTATAGAGAGAAACTTTTGAAGTACTTCCTCCTCAGATACCTTCGTAATTTTTACTTTTTCGAAAATTATACGGTCTGATTATGCCATTTTATTTGAAAATTATGATTTGAGAAAGTGTTTGTTTTTATCAAAATGCAAAACACAGGAACCAAAACAGTAACAATTTCAACTCTTTGCTTAAAAGTACAAACATGCTTGGGAGAACCACCTCTAAAAAGTCAGTGTACTTTCCAAGTACTTTCTAATGTTTATGGCAAGTACCTCGCTGTTGTTGGTTTTGGTTTGTTGGTTTAAATATCAATATTGGTTTACAATTGAGCAACAAAAATGACATCCCGCTCGTGAAAATGGAGATCATAAGTATCTAAACGGATTAATTCTTCGTAAGTTGACGACTGGCTTGAACTTGAAGGCTTGTCTTCATCTTTCTTGTATTGTTCCTAAAAGAAATTCAAGTCAAAGTTGAAATAAACAGCAAAACATGCCAAATAATGTATAACGCCATTTTCAACGTTAGCTGAAGCTCTAACTTTTTAATCAAAACCCTTTGTGCTCATTTTTTGGTTATCTGCTCTTGTGGGGTACCAAGATATTAAGGTTCGTCATGTCTCAGTCTAGATTGGGTCTAGACTTAAGAGTCAGCACGTAAATTTATAAGTCAGTTTTTGCCTTGCGAGAGACCAACTATTGATATTTTGTACGAATGGTTTTGTAGTTATTACTTATTAGTGTAGTTATTACTTATAAGTGTAATGAACTACTGCCATTTTTGGTGCACCTGCCAATCTGAATCATCAAGTCCCAATACTGTTCATGTCAAATGCACAAGAGGAACAGTATGAAGGAATTAAAAATTTCAATGGACCCTCATAGATTGAGTCAAGATTTATTAAATTGGTCTTCCAGTTAGTGAGCAGTCTTGCTTGATTGAAAAGAAGTAAGTCTTAATGTATAAATCTATATGATTTTAATTTGATTCATCTTTTGTGTACTTTTAATTTTAATTTACATGAGCATAAGATCATTTCTCAACACAATAATATTTTGAATACCTAACTCTCCATTTTGCTACTTATGAGATGAAATTTGGAGCATGTATTTTCACAATGGAAATTGGAAGCTTTCAATGTAAAGGCCTGGCAAACTTAACCTGTTTCAGTTTAATAACCAGTGATGGGTGCTTTAGTCACCATGAGTCAAATGGTATGCTGGCTAGCTTTATTTTGCCATTTGATTCATAATATATTGATGGATTACTTATCTGGAGCTATGTTATGCAATAAGTGACATTCACAACACCCCATTTATAGGAAGACTGATAGTGCTGATTGGAAGCATGAATAAATATTTCTGAATAGGTAGGTACTGCACAATGCAGTATGCAGTGCACATTTATGGTGCATCTATCCAGTTGTGCCTGCAAAGTTAAAAGTTTTCATGTATTTTCTCACATCACATATCCTTTTTCAGGTCAAGCAGTCTACTCCCTGCAAAGTCAATCAAGTGGTGTGTAGCTACACATGTCCCTTGGATATGTTTACTTTTTAATCCTGACTCACAAGAGCCATCCTGACTCACAAGAGCCATTAGAAGAAAGCAAGAAGAGAAGCAGAGGATAGTTGGCCTCCTCCACTCCAGGTAAGTTATTTTCTCCAGCACCTCACCCACCAGCTCTTCGTCCAGTGGCTGCCTTTTCACCACAATGCAGCTGCTGGCTGGTGCTGCGCCTGTCGGGCCCTGTATAGCGTTATGTCGGTACCAAGGGACGTCGTTCGCCGACGGTGGCCAGATTGAATGGCCGGCAGCCGGTCTCCAGCGGCCGTCGAGGTAGGCTGTTCGTACTTCGTACTGCAGAGCTCGGTCTCCAGACGATAGAGACTGGCTGCCGACGTCACATGTGGTTGCTCCGCACTGGACCTGGGAGATATATGAACGGAATGGAACCTAGAAACTGAGCCTGGATAGGAAAGGCAAGAACGAAGTTGATGGATGGAAACAAAGTTGGGTGGGGATTGGCATGTAGATATCTTAGCCTGTTGAATTTGGCAAGCAGTAACGACATACCTAGTACCTACCTGTCTGCTTGTCACACATTTCCGGCGATAAGGCGCCATCGAAACATTCGAAATGTTTCATCGGGCATGAACGTATGGATAGTTGTCACATAGGTGTATCAGTCAATCAGACTTGGATGGGCTTATTCGCAGTGAGGCCTGAACCGTTCTCAGCAGGCTTATTTTTCTCCTGAGCGACGAGACTCCTCTAATACAAGTTCCAGCTCCGCGATTGCTCTGCACCGGCAGCCGACTGTCGGTTTTTCTTGGTGGTATTGGCCGGAAGTTGCCGGCTGTAACCGTTCGGCTGTGCTGCCGCAGCATTTTCACCGACCCATGACGTTTCCACGGCGGTTGCCGGATGTCTGATTCAGCACGTCGGTCATATTACCCCGCCCGGCCACCACTACTGCTGCTGTAACCACCTCCACCGGGCTCCGGACGGCTGGTTAGTTATCAGGGCTCAGCGGCGTCTCTGCGCCTCGATGCAGGTCGTCAAACTAGTGACTGGGGACGGTATGAAGGAGATATCACGGTGAAACGTGTATATTCTAGCTGATGAGGGTGGTCGTTTCATGAAATGGCTTATGAGATGCTACATTGGGGCTACATTGACAAAGGTTGTCATTGGAATGGCTACACAGCAGCCATCGTTTGTTTTTAACGTCAGCCGCTACGTGGTTGGTGAGAATCATTCGTGTTGTAATTGCCCTGACCGTGGTCTGCATTTGCATTGTTACCTTCCCTGGATTTCATGGAGTCTGACCAGTGCACATTCCGGGCTCCGTTTTATCGCAATTTACCGGGAAGAATGGCGCTGTGTGCACCAGCGGCCTTCCTTTCCTGGATTTGTGGTGGCATTCGGTGAGCCTCATCCAACGACAGGCTGCTCATTTGGTCGCAGGATTTGCTCTCGGTTCGTCTAGTTTAAATGTGAAGGATCAAAACATGGATATAACACAGGTGAGAGCTATGTATCTTATGCGCGGTCATCGCATTGCGCTCCTTGGGATCCGGGAGTCTACCTCGCCCCGTGCCGACTGGATGAAGCTGAGTTTTGACAGCCTCCCACGAGAGGTCGGTATCGGCATTGTGAAGTTCGTGGATGGATCGAGTGGTGTGGGGGCTACTCAATCCGGCCTTCCAAGTGTGGGGTCGGCTTGGATTCACGGTTTGAGTTGTCGAACAATGAGCAGTGACGTCATATCTATTGGACTTATGAATGTCCGCTTCGGTCGGTACCTACTGCGAGTCTGGAAAAAAAAAACCTTGTCACAAAAAAACTGTCACCTGTCACATCAGCCTCTGGCAGTCGAGACGGTCTACCCTAGTTCCAATTTTGAGCCGACGTCAGCTTGCCACGCTGCACTGAGCGGTCTCAGCGTGGGGTAGCGGACTGTCCTCTCCCCCAAGCTCGCCGACGGCACCGGGATTATCCGGACGCGTTGTCCTGGCCGACGTCACACCGACCCCCTTTCACCAATCACCTCAGTCTCACAGTACGGCCTATCCGTCGCATACGGCACGTCTGAGATTCAACGATTGTGTTGTCTGGTGGCAGCACCATGGCAGGCATGTACTAGATAGGATGCGGTTGAGTGCTGACTGTTGAGGACCGCCACCGCCAACTGATGTGAGAGACTG